AAAACTTAAAAAATTTTTTTTGGAGACAGAGTCTCACTCTTGCCCAGGCTGGAGTTCAGTGGCCCTATCTTGGCTCACTGCAACCTCCACCTCCTGGGTTCAAGCGATTCTCCTGCCTCAGCCTCCAGAGTAGCTGGGATTACAGATATGTGCCACTTCGCCAGCTAATTTTTTTATTTTTTATTTTAGTAGAGACCGGGTTTCAACATGTTGCCCAGCTCGTCTCAAACTTCTGACTTCAGGCCATCTGCCTGCCTCAGCCTCCCAAACTGTTAGGATTACAGACATGAGCCACTATGCCTGACATATTGATTTTATTTTATTTATTTATTTTTTATTTTATTTTATTTTTTTTTTGAGACAGTTTCACTCTTGTTACCCAGGCTGGAGTGCAATGGCGCGATCTCAGCTCACCGCAGCCTCCGCCTCCTGGGTTCAGGCAATTCTCCTGCCTCAGACTCCTGAGTCGCTGGGATTACAGACACGCGCCACCATGCCCAGCTGAATTTTTGCATTTTTAGTAGAGACGGGGTTTCACCATGTTGACCAGGATGGTCTCGATCTCTTGACCTCGTGATCTACCTGCCTCAGCCTCCCAAAGTGCTGGGATTACAGGCTTGAGCCACCACACCCGGCCTGATTTTATTTTTTAATTTTTTGAGACTGAGTCTCCCTTTGTCACTCAGTCTGGAGTGCAGTGGCGAGATCTCAGCTCACTGCAACCTCCACCTCTTGGATTCAAATGATTCTCCTGCCTTAGCCTCCCAAGTAGCCTGGAATACGGGCTTGTGCCACCACACCTGGCTGATTTTTTGTATTTTTAGTAGAGACGGGGTTTCACTGTGTTAGCCAGGATGGTCTCCATCTCCTGACCTTGTGACCTGCCCGCCTCGGCCTCCCAAAGTGCTGGAATTAAAGGCGTGAGCTGTTGCCCCCAGTTAATTTTGTATTTTTATTAGAGATGGGGTTTCACCATATTGGTCAGGCTGGTCTTGAACTCCTGACCTCGTGATCTGCCTGTCTTGGCCTCCCAAAATGCTGGGATTACACACGTGAGCCACTGTACCTGGTCATGCTGACAGTTTTAATCCCAGCACTTTGAGAGGGCAAGGCGGGAAGATTGCTTGAGGCCAGAAGTTCCAGACCAGCTAGGTAACTAGTGAGACCCCTGTCTACAAAAATAAATGTGGTAGTGCATGCCTGTGGTTCCAGCTACTGGGAAGGTTGAGGTGGGAGAGTCACTTGAAACTGGAAGGTGGAGGGTGCAGTGGACTGCGATCATGCCTCTGCACTCCAGCCTGGGTGACAGAGTGAGACCCCATCTCAAAAATAAAAAAGAAAAAGCCTGGGCGTAGTGGCTCACACCTGTTGTCCCAGCACTTTGGGAGGCTGAGGGGGGCAGATCATGAGGTCAGGAGTTCAAACCTGGCCAACATGGTGAAATACAAAAATATTCTACTAAAAATACAAAAATTAGCTGGGCATGGTAGCATGTGCCTGTAATCCCAGCCATTCTGGAGGCTGAGGCAGGAGAATTGCTTGAATCGGGACCTGGGAGGCAGAGGTTGCAGTGAGCTGAGATTGCGCCATTGTACTCCATCCTGGGTTAAAGAGCAAGACTCCTTTAAAAAAAAAAAAACAGCCGGGCGCGGTGGCTCAAGCCTGTAATCCCAGAACTGTGGGAGGCCGAAGTGGGTGGATCACGAGGTCAAGAGATCGAGACCATCCTGGTCAACATGGTGAAACCGCGTCTCTACTAAAAATACAAAAAATTAGCTGGGCATGGTGGCACGTGCCTGTAATCCCAGCTACTCAGGAGGCTGAGGCAGGAGAATTGCCTGAATC